GGCAGGGGGCGAGCAGGGGACGGGGAGGCCGGGAGGGGACCCCCGGCGTCGCTTTGCTGTGGTGAGAGGCGCCGGGCAGACCCCAGGGGCTGAGGGAGCAGCCCTGCACAGGCCGCGGCAGGCGCTGAAAGCTGCAGGGGGCTGAGGGGGACTTTCAAACCCTGCCTCGAAAGGGGATGCTGTCCACTTAAAATCCCGTTGCTGGAGGGGACGTTGATTTATACCTACTCATTTGTTTAGTTGTGGGTGTATTCATTACAGTAGGTCAAAAAAACAAAAGGAAGAAGAAAATTCGTCTGGTTTTGTCGAGTTGGTAGCTTAAAATTTCGTAGTGCCCTGACTGCTTGACTTCCTTGTCTGCTGGTCAGGGGCAAGCTCTAGTGCGTGACATTCAGTGATCACAAGATGTTTTTAATCTGCTTTAGTAGCTTTTAATGCTGAGTCAAAACCACAGCCGCATTGCATTTCTAAACGTCTGCAGTGTCAAGCAATACCAACGTTGTGACGGTGCTCTGGTCTCCTGTTCGCTCTGCACCACCCTGAGTGGCCTGCTGGCTGTTTCCTCTCTGCCTGCTCCCCTCTCTGTGGGAGAGCAGGTGTGGAGACAGACACCTGAAGAGCTTCTCAGCCCGAGCAACGGGGAGGCAAAATGTAGGGAACTGCTTCTCCCTAGCTGACAGTGCTGGTGTTCCTCCTCCTAAAAGAAGCTGTGAAGCAGAGCATCGCTCACGTGGCACGTGTCATGGATGACTAAAGGAAAGAAACACACAAGGATAGAAACCCCCTGTATTCCTGAGAGGAAGAGAAGTAGGGATTCCTCAAGCGCTGTCTTGCATTGCAGTCTCTGCTGGGGATAAAATATGTTTTAGTATTGGGAGGGGAGGGGGCGGCAGCAGAATCTTCACTGCAGCAGATGAAAATGATACTGTCCATCGTTAGCACACTTCCAGAACTGTTCAGTGTATGAAATGTGGAAAGAGAATAAGGTCAATAAACATACTGAATGTTGTATCTTCAGCTTCATGTGGGACAATACAGAAGATGATGATCTGCAAGCAGACAAGACAAAAATACTGGCTCTTAGTAAAAGTCATGAACTGTTTGTCTATGAATTCACTATAGAAGACGGAAAATACAACCCAATTTCCCTGCACAGTTGTAAGGAAGATACACTTAAAAAGCTCCTTGAAGTTAAAAACATTAGTGAGTAAATTTCAATGTGTATTCCATATTTGAAATTATTGTAGGTCTAATTCTGCTCCACCTAATGAAACAAATCGAGGCGGTAGGATTGAACAATAGGCAAGTGTCAAATACTCTCACACTGATTTGAAGTGATAAGTAGCAGTATTAATGAATTTGAAAAATACTAGTGCCATTTCTGTATTCAAAGATGACATTGTTAGAGGGAATTAAACTGTTGTAGGGTAAGGTGTTCAGATGATACAAAGTTAAAAATAAACTTTAATAAAACACATTCATGCAACCCTGCTATCTCAGACTTTCCCTTTAATATTGGAACTGATGGGAAGAAAGCATAGAGAGGGTTCCTCACTAATTCTGCAAAAAACTAATTATGTGTTTAACCTTGTGTTCTATGATTGGCAAATGTAGCGTACAGTCAGAAAGCGCAGTCTTTCCAGGACCTAGACCTTTGATGTTTTACATGTTCTTGAATGGTCTCTATTGCTAAAGTATTTTTATTTGCAAAGATTGTAGGTTTTATTTTCAGTGCTGACTGAAATAGTGTTTTGTGATGGTTTTTTGTGTTCTTCATAGTATTTTCCACCTAAAGAGCCTGCACTGTTACAGGAAACTGTTCTAAAATTAATGCTTCTGACACAGAAAGTGAGCTTTAAAACAAAACAAGCCCCCACCCCCATCCCAACTTTTATTGAGATCGTAGCAGAGGCAATGAATTTGAGCTGTAATTTTCTTGAGATATCTTTATAAATCAAAAGTGCCAGATCACTATAATCCTAAAATATCCTTAACTTTACAGGTCTGTCTTCAGTTTTCTCTTTGAGGATACTGTCTTTTGAAAACAACAAATGCGTACTTCTGCTCAATAAGTTTATTGTTGTGCATCTTACCTTTCCTGGAAAAGACTCACCCTTAGAGACATGTGACTGCTATACCCTTAATTTGCCTCCGCAAGTTTGGGAACGGATAACAGATACGCACTTCTGCAGGGGGATGCTGTTTCTGTTAGATAGTTCTGGCTGGATTTGTATCCTTTTCAGTAGAGACTAGCTCTCAGATCTGGAAGAACCAAGTTGTTTTTCTTTTTTTGTCAGGGTTAAGCAGAAATTTCTTGAAAGACATTTGAGTGTCTGTTTTGAAGATGCTTTCAATAAAGGGGTTGTGTAGCAAAGTGCTAGTTAATGTAGTAAAAAATGCCGTAGTCGTGTATCAAATGTACGTTCTCAACATGCCACTGGAAATCTGTTTCACACTGGAGTAATGCTTTCAGTGGTTTTGATGTCTGGATCTGTGTATAATAGGCTTACATCTACTGTCACTAGCCCTTCTTAAATAGGTCCTTTAGGAATTATCTACAGATACGCAGGGAATCACAGCTTGGAAACCAGATAACTTCCTGTGTTCTAATGAACAGGAGCTCAGACCTGTCAGACAGGTTTAACCTATTCTTTGTCAATTTGTTTCTGACACGTATGTAAAAAAGTGCAATAAAGTCAGGGTACTTTTTCCTCCTAATTATATAACTGCCGACATATATTTGTCCCAGTTCACTTTTAAGTATAAATTAGCTCTTCTGAGATGGCACAAGTTGCGTGTTTGTGCAGCAGCTAGCACAATTTGCTGCTGATCCTAGCTGAGCTTAGAATGCTCTTGTAAAACAAACAATTCTAAATGTCTTGTGCAGAGATTGGCTTGGACCACAAAGTTAACAGAAATTCACCATCTTCCCCTTCTATCTAATTTCTTGTTGGACAATCTGAGACCTCGTGTTTTCTTTGACACTATTTAAAGATGTATTTGACTCTTTTGATGGTGCAAATCTAGCAAACGTCAGCGTAGCGCTCTGCCAGGGAGACGTGCCGGATGAGGACAGGAGTCCAGCCATCACATCGCCGCTCACTGCGGTGAAAGTGTCGCGTGATCTCAGTGTTGCTGTGGTCATCAGTTCTTCCAACTATGCCATCTCTGTGGATCTAAACATGTACTTCAGGTATGTTTGCAGCAGAATTCCTAGATGGAAGTTTTGAGCACAACTAACATTAAAAAGTGCCTAATCTTGGTCCTGTAGTAGTTGAGGTGCTGTCAGCTTTTTGTTTGGAGTTCTGGCTCTGTGGTAGAGCAGAAATTTTGTATTTGTTTAAAGACTGGCCATTATTATTTGCTCTAATTTATGCTCTGTCATTTTAACAAATAGAAAAACTTTGTATTGGACTTTATGTTTTGTCTGGGAAGGTTAGGATACGTGCTGTCAATTAGTGCCAGCGGTGGCTGGTAGCACCTTTTAGAAATACTGTGGGGTATGGGATTGTTAAACTATTCTGATACAGCTTTATGGATTTTGCTTGATAAATTAGGACTAGGTTGTGATTTAGAGGTGGTGTCCACCTCAAAGGAAATAGCATCGGGTTTTGATGGCTTACCTGGATACATTTTTGTGGATGCTGTTAATCTGAGAGAAAACTGCTTTGCTGATAACTCCTGGAGGAGTTAAACATGAAGGAAAAAAAAATCTTAAATCATCTGAGGGAGGTGAAATTTAACGTTTATTTATTTACAGACAGTTCCCTGGGCATTTGGTCTGTAAGAGAGATCCTGAAAATCTTCCCATGAAGCCTCCTGAAGGACTTGATGAGGATGACCTTGCTAGTTCTGACTATAGCATGGAGCTTTTGTCATCGTCGTTCCGCACAGACAGGTACAGAACGAAAATACTTTCTAAAACAGGCTGGGGTTTGCCTCCTTTAGATCATTGATTAATAAACTGCTGATTTTTTTTTAATTATAGTTGTGGCAAGTAAAATCAGCTCATTCTGCTTTCAATCTTTTGAATGTTAGGATGGTGTTAGGAAACTTTACATATGTCATCAAACAGCTTCCAAATAGTAATTACTGTTTCAGGTGTTACCTTTAGTTTGAAGCAGTATTGACAGATTTTTGTATTCCAAGTACTTTACAGTTTGTTGTGTGTTTAGCACAGATGAGTGCATGTGGACTTCAAAGTATTTTTTGTTCAGGTAAAACATTTTAACCGTGTTGTGACCCTTAGTGTTAGAGGTATTCACACTAATAAAATATGTTAATTATAACTTGATCTAAATGTAATAAATACTCAATTCCGGAATTAATTTCATTCTACTTTTTTTTTTTTTTAATTGATGGGGGCATTTTCTTAATTAATTCTTTCTTAATGCAGCTGTGATCATTCAACTTGGCTGCAAACAGTATTTAAATAGAAATAAACAGGGCATGTTAAGGTTAAAATGCAAGATGCTGGATGGAATCTATAAGCTTAAAATGCCCATTATTTAACTGAGGAAACCTCAAAGATTTATTTATTGGCATTGTTCTTGGAGTAATGCCTGGTATTATAGGTAATTTCTTCCTTCACCCCAGGTCCTGGAAGGCACACTTATCCTCACTATGTGATACTGTAAGGAGAAGACGACCAGGTTCTCCAGATTTGGTCAATGACTTGAATTTACCTTGGTATCAGTTTTTTACCCATCTTGAAGATCACGATCCTGAAATCTATGAAAATTCTGAGAAGATGGTGGCTTTTGTTCCACGGGCTGTTGCGGGGGCCCCTTCCAAACCATTACAAAGCAATGGTACAAACCTCAGCGATGCAAGACAGCAATGGAAACAAATCCCCGTAGAAGCACCACAAGAAGTGGTGAAACTGGAGTGTAAATTGGTAACTGGGGTTAAAGCCCTGTTTGTAGTATTAACAAATGACAAAGGATTGACTCTTGCTCTCTGGGATTTTGAGTCGCAAGATGTGACGTATTACCACTTTGGCAAAAATAGTGTTTATGTGGATTGCAGTGAAGAGGTGCCTTTATGTCTACTTCTGACAGGTGAGGGGGTGGGTTTATATAATTGTTCTGATGCAGACTTCTGATAAAAGCTTTTTTTTTTCTTTTGTAGTGCTCTTCTTTCCTGTCTGCTTGGCTGCTGTTGGCTAATTTCTAATGCATTCTTGCCGAGGTGAAATCCAAATGGAGCCACTGCAGCTTTGCGTCATTATTTTGGAAGAGAGACAGTAGATAGAAATGTTGGTGTGTAGCAAGTTGCTTATATATTTTTAATTATGGTTTGATTCTTTTATTTAGAGCATGGTCTCTCCTTAGTTCTGTTTGGTTTAACTCAGGAAGAGTTTTTGAATAGATTGATGATCTATGGCAGCGCTGGAGTCGTAGATTCTGTTTGTCATCTCAATGGATGGGAACGATGTTCAATTCCGATACATGCACTAGAGGTAAAGAACTGTGTTTCATGTCTTACAGATAACAAAAATACTTCTTTAAAGTAATGAATGCAGTTTAGCAATGTTAATGGTGTTTTTAGACAGAATTAAAAGTATGCCTCAGTAACCTAGGGGCAAAAAATAGTGGTTTAGTTATTAAATAAACAATAAAAAACCCAAGTAACCCAGATGAGTAACCCAAGAGAAGAAATACAGCAACAAAGTTAATGCACCATAAAAAAAAGAATTAAACTAAGCAGTGCTCAAAAATCCCTCTTAATTGGATCCACAAGCATTTTTGCCAGTTTCTGCAGCAGTTTTTGTCATCTTGCAAAATGTCAAATATTAAAATAAATCCTTGGAACTAGATTTTTGTTTTTATCATACCACTCTTGTAAAGCCAAGAGGAGCACTTAAAGCTACCAAATGTTGCTTGGTATCCCTTAACAATAGGCAATAAAATATTTTTAATGTACCAGACCACGAAACAAATCTCCTTGTGTCTCTGCAGTTTTCCAGTGCTCTAGTTCTACTTGTAGATGACGGAGATCCTTGTTTAAAAAAGATTACTGTTCCAGAAGTCTGGGGCTCTGTAACAGCCTGTCCGCACCGTCACTCAGTACACTGTCAGTCTGTGTTTCCAGTTGTGTTTGGAGGGAGGGAGCTTGGATGCATACATTTGGTAGGGTTCTCTTGGTTTTATTTGAAGGGTGTGATGGGAAGTGAATTGATGGGCAGGAGGGTCACAGCAAATTTTCAGTTGCTGTAAGCTTATTCAAAGTCCTGATTCTCACAGTACTTATTGTATATCCCAAATCAAACTCTATAATAAATTGCTGAATTAACGTTCTGTCTCTGAAGATACAGGGCAGGGTTTCTGCAAAGGCTATCAAAGGAGCATGGCAGGTAATGAACAGGTCACCTTGTTATTTCAGGCTACAGGTGTTGCACACATAGTTCAAATGTCTTCTTTTGTTCTGCATGTCTACTTTGTTGCTGAGTATGAAGCAGAAATACTAGCAGTAAGCGTACCATATAGATTTTGAGAATACATGCATAATTGTTCTGCTGTATGTTTGTCTAGGCAGGTTTGGAAAATCGTCAACTAGACACAGTAGACTTATTTTTAAAAAGCAAAGAAAGTCTTTTCAATCTGTCTGCACCCTGCTCTGGACCTGAACAGTCTACTGATAGTGCATCCCAGTCTTACCTGAAAAGTAAGTGAAATACTTTCAGCTACGCAGAGGTTTAAATTTAATTGCCTTTCTGTTTATGGCTATGTGTTTGTAAAAACAGATTGAATCGCCCATGCTCTTGTATGTTTGGATGATGCTATATTGCAACTTCTCTACTTCTGGAAAATAAGAGAGAAATGGTACATACTGCATGCGTTTTTTTGTTGTGTTCTGCTATTGGCATACGTATTATAAGCATTTTGATGTGAAGGCAAAGCATGCTACATATACTGTTTGACACATGTTAGAAGATTTTTTAGCATACCTTTATAACTTTTAACTTAAATTTATGTGATCAGTCATATGGTAGAATGCAGATGTTTTAACTTTTTATGTCAATATTGCAGATTTGGAAGAGCTGAGGCCAGCTTTAAACTTGCTTTGCTCAGCGATCAAAGAAAATGATATGGAGCCTCACAGTAAACATTTTTCTGAGCAGCTACTAAACCTGACGTTGGCTTTCCTTAGCAAGCAACTTGAAGAGATTTTTGTGCACACAGAGGGTAAGATTACTCATTTTGAATCATATGTAGTAATGTAATGTGTCATTGTTCGGGTAAGTAAGAACAACTAATGCTTTTTAGTTAAAAGCCTAAATTTGCCTAGCATTAACAAAAAATTTGCTAGAGTTAAGTGAATGAAAGATGTTGTTTAAGGGGAAACATGAGAAATTAATCTGAATACAGTGTCTGTGTTAGCTCAAACAACTATGATCAGGCTCTTGGATCAGAGAGGATTCTGTCAACAGGATCATTCTGGGATGCATAAGAATGGCAGCATGGGACTTTGAGGCTATTGCTGGAGACTTGATGGTAGTGCAGTTAAATGGCTTGAGTTTAGCCCTCAGCTGCTTGTTCTTTTCTCATGCCGCCACTTGAAATATTCTGGCACAAATATTTATGTGGCTGTGGAATGGAATAGACTAGTTTCTTAAACTGATACAGCTGAAAAAAATAACCTACCAGGTTATTTTTTATCTGGAGCACTTCCCAGTCCGATTTACTGTGTGGCAACGCAGTCACACATCCCAGTGTAACCCGAGGGGTGGCACAGAAGCAGGAAGCAGTGTCTGATGGGGGTTGCAGACTGGATGTGGCGGTGCATGGCTGCTTACGCTGGCACAGTTGCTGAAATGTTGCTCTTTGAACTACAGCTGAAAAAGTACAAGAATAGAGTAACAGCTACTAGTGAACTATTAAAATGACAGAATTCCAGAGGACAATTTTATTTTGCTAGAGAGTGGGGTGACATGTCCCAACATACAGTCTGCTGTCCTGCTGCTTGGGTCTGAATTGCTGTCTCAGTGATGCTTTTTAGTCTGTGGACCAAGAGGCTATACATGTTAAAGCAGAACCGATTTCTTCTGATAGTAAAAGGTGCAGACCATTAACTGTTAATCATTTTTTTCTGCATGATTTTTAGTACTCTTTGTTTCTTACTACACGAATGCTATGTTTAAAAGTCCCTGCATTTTAAATGGGACTTATCTGATTAATAATTGGTTGGATTCATAAAAAAATTCGGTTCTCATTTACTTGTCCCTGAATGGGAAAACACATCAATGAGGACAGGGGGACCTCTCTGGAGCACCGGTAGGATTGTGACTGTATCCTGACAGTATGCTGATAGTGGTGGACAGTATCAGTACCTGTCCAGGTCAAATTGCAATACACAGCTGTGCTCTTTCCTCTGAGCTGTGCTCTGGTTATTAGGCAGGAGAATGCATTCAACATTGCTAAGCATTAAAAAGTGCTGTATTGTTCATTTCTGTTTAACTGATATCTTGGATGCTCTTGACAGAACCTGATAAACTGCTGCAGAAGGCTGCAGATATTTTAACCGATTACATTATTAAACTTAGAAAATTTCTGAGAAAATATCCTCGACCACAAATAAATGCAGTACAGACAGAAAGTGATCTTGATGATGACCTGCCTGCATTAGAAGAAAGCCACATGTGGGAAAAACTGACACCAGAGGTAAAAATGAGTATTCCATTTTTCACTATTCTTATTAAGTATATTTAAGGAAATTATTAATATGGAAATGTCTTTAAACTATTGGGGGAAAAAAAATCAATATAGGTGTTATAAAGATAGTAACACTGAAGATTAATGAGATCAGTTTGTTCCATTTTTTTCCGCCCCTTTTAGGAAGTCATTGCTGAGGCCATCTTAAGCAACAAAATGCCAGAGGCCCAGGCCTTCTTCCGAATGCATCAGCATCCTGCTCAAAGTCTTCAAGTATTTATTCAGACAGGTTTGAATCTGGTCTATGACAGTCTTCTGAAGGACAATACCAGAGAGGCCTCAGAACTTTTGAGAAATATGGTGAGAGGTATTCAGTAAGCATGCTGATAGTTCTTAACACTTCTTTATGACTAATGAAATAAATGAATGCTAAGAGTATGGGGAGCGTTCAGGTGACTTGTGGATGTATTTATTCTACCCCATACATGTATTACAGTGAAAATAAGCTTATTTTAAAGAACTGCTTTGATCACTCATGTACCTTCAGAATGCTGAGGGAGCCTGTTTATGAATGTGTATTGACTGATGTTATGATCAGCAAAGTGTAAAGGTGATTCTGGCAAGTCAGGTATTAAAGGGTGCACATTTCATATCCAGTCATGCTGGAGACATCACGCAGATCACTGGGTTATTATGACATTTCTAGTAACTGGTGAAGCAAATATCACAAGCATGCTTGTAAAAGGTTGTGTGCTTTGGAAAGCAAGCAGGTGCATTTATCCTGTCAGTGTACAGCTGCATTTGTGCAGTTGGTGTACAATGAGTATCTTCTTTTTTGTTAGGGCTTTGATGTGAAGGAGGAATTGCATAAGATATGTTTCTACACAGTTGATAAACATGTACGAGATTTGTTGGTAAGTGTAGAAAAGGCTTTTTTTGTCTAGCTGATGTTCTCGGGTCTGAAGTCTGATGTGTATTTATGCTGAGAGAAAGCATTGTATTGAACGCACTTTCAGAATGGGAACAAACAGGTTTTGTCCCTGCATCCTTGCAGTATAGTTGCTGAAACATGTCATTGACATGCCTAGGTTCTTTTGTATTTGCAGTTAAAGTAAAAATGGGTTAAAATGTCATTTCTTTGTTCTGTCTCTGATCTAGTTCTTATCTGCTTGCACACAGTATGAGGTCCTGGCCCTCTTGTAATTTAAGTGTATGCAGCATTTTTTCCTGCAGTTGGTTAACTCTTTACACTTGCATGATCGTTTACAACTTTAATATATATTATAAGTAGATAGAAATTGTAATTGGAGGTAATACTTTAATTTGAATTAAAGGTGAAAGTTTTACAAGAAGAAAATTATTTTTCTGAAAAAGAGAAGAAAATGATAGACTTTGTGCATCAGGTTGAAAGCTTCTACTCGGAATCCCTCCAAGAAAATAAAGAGATGCAATCTCTTTCCAGGTAATGTGGGTTATCAGCTTTAATTACTAATTAATAATGTTAATAGGATTTAAAATATGCTGGCTTCTACATTCTGTATGATTTACTGCACTGACAAGTCTGGTCTTCTGTAATTTCATTAACTTCACACTAGTCTTCAGTTGCAGAAATAAGGGTCAGTGTGGGAGATGGTTACTTTTCTCATTAAAGTAACAATTGCTGTCGTGTTCTTTCCACAGTAAGTCATGACATACTGTCATCAGTGTAACAAAGGTTTTCTGTTCCCGTCATCATCACCATAAACAAAGTATTTTTAATAAAAAATGATTTTACTAGAATTATTAATCAAATGAAACATGTTCAGCTGGAATGTTTGCTCTATTTTTGATATATGATATCCATAATATAGCAAACTAAAGTAACCTCTAAAAATTATTTTACAGTTAAATAATTGTAAAAATGTTACAATACTTATCATCTGCTATGTCAATTTTGGAAAAATGAGGTAATTGTTTGCTCATTGCTCTCATATGCACTCTGAAACTTTTAGCTGAACTAAGTCCCTCTACCATTTCCACCTCAAAATGGATTAGCAAAATTGGTTGACCCTTTCATCATCTTCTATTTGTTAGATTGTGGACTGTTTTTTAAAAGAGTACTAGGAAACCTCATAATGCAATACTTCATTGCAGTTTCAAGAACTGGAGAAAGGAACAAGACTTTTCCAGACATACAGCTGTTCTGGACTCGTTGTTGAATTGTGATAGACGTCAGGTTCACAACAGGAGAGTGAGAGTGATGTTGAACTGGGCTCAGTGGTGGGATGAGCTTACTCAGGAAATGATTATTCTCCCCAGAAAACCACGCCAAGGCAAGTATTCTGGTACTAAGAACTTAAAAGAAATGGTGAATTAAAAATCTCTTTGACGCAGTATATTGCAATTGTGCAGCAGTGGCATTGATAGAACTACAGTTGTGTGCTATCACAGTAGGTCACTTATTTTTTGACAGTGAAAATGGGCAACCAATGTGTTTTCATCCTGTTGCGTTCTGGCAGGGATCTGTGTTTTTCCTGTAGAGAAGATTTTGGAACTAGTTGAAAGGGACTTGTCTAATGCATGGCCACTTGTTGCAAATGTCGTGCTCTGCTATGTTCTGTAAAGCTTATTACAGTGTAGTATTACATTTAGCTTTTCCAACATAAAGCTCTAACAACCTGTAACAGTATACTTAATCTCAGCATCATATTTGCAACCTTTTGTTAAAAATATGTACACGTATAAAGAAATGTCAGTATTTCCCTAAGTAGTATTTGTTTGTGCTAATTTCATCACTTTGCCTTTTTGAAACACAGAACTCAAGACATGTAATCCTGAGGTTCTTTGGATGCACTTGACAGCCCAGCATGATTGGCTTAATATTTGTTCATGGATTGAAGAATCTGAGCCCAACCAGACTTTGTGTGGACAAGCTAACTGGCCCCCTCTTACTCCAGACATTATTGACCGGAACATGTTATGTAGTAGCTATATGAGAAATGATATATTAAACAAGCTGGCTAGGTAGGTGCCCTTAATGCATTATACTAACTTTCTATCTTATGTGAAGCCAAAATCAGGTAGTTAGAGAAGTACATGTTAATAAAACCTTTGATACGTATTAATTTTCATAGTGTATTTAGTGGCCTTTTTTGAAACAGCACAAATCCATTAATAAATTTCATTTTAGTCTTGTACTTGCACTTTCCGGTATCTGAAAACAGTAAGAAACATGAGAGCAGTAGAAATCCTCTATCAGCCCTTCGATCTTGCATGGTGATTATATTCCTGATACCCATTTTAATGCAAGGGAGAAAATTCGAAACACATAGCATTTCACTCCTCACGCCTCGTTCTCTGCAGTGAACTGTAGTAACTGCGATATTGTTTAGGCACTATCAGACGTATTTTGGCATGTTGTGTTTGGCTCAGTAGTGAAGTAATCCCCTAGAAGGAAAGGTCTGCTTTATAATTTTGAACTGAAACCACCCTTCAGAACTTGTTAAGGAGGTAACTGTCTAATTGGTGCATATGCTTTTTCTCTTTTCTGATAGAAATGGAATTTTTGTCTGTTCTGAGTTGGAAGATTTTGAACTTCTGCTCCAAAGACTGTCTTACCTTGGGGGAGTACTGCAAAAGCCTCACCCTGTTCCAAAATACAGTGCTGCAAGCGGTTTGGACTTCCATGCTCGTTTCGTCCTTTACTGTTTAGAACATAATTTGCAGTATCTGTTATACACTTACTTAGACTATTACAGGTATGAATGCTTTTCATCCCTCGAACCTCATGCAGATTTAAATATGAAACGCTATTTTAATAGTTGGCAGTAAGAGTTTTCCACGACCCCTCCTGTTTGGTGAGAAAGACTACTTGGGTCACAACGGTGTCATTTAATGAAAAACGGTGGGGCAGTGTGTTAGGTTTCGTGCTGTATTGTAAGCTTTAGTCAGGTTGTCTTGTCAATATTAATTTGTGTGTCAGTCGTCAAAGGAAACAATTATAGTTGTAATTAGTATAATGTTATAAGCAATGCAATCTTAAATGAGCCAAGACAACTTGTTCTTCAGAAACTCTCTCACTTGAGCACAAGTATGAGTTCATTCTTGATACGTTCACAAATAAAGAAATTGCTGGTTTCCATCTAAATTAGGATTAGTTGGGATTTGAAGGAGAAAGCAATATTAGGTATTGGAACTATATGAATATGTTCCACTTAAAGAATATTTTGCAATTAAAATTTCTTAGCTGTAACTCTAATCTAACAGTGTAGGTATGAAGAAGGTAAAAGTGGATCAGAAAAAAACCCAACAAATCTTTTTTTTTGTTTGTGTAATAAATTTTAGTTTGCATAAAATATTAGGACTATGCAGAGTTACCAGTATTTGTGAGACAAGTCCCTTCTTTGGAAAGTGTTTGGGGTGGTCAGGTCTGGAAATTATTCTTTTGATTTACGGAAGCAAGCAAGCACAGAAACATAATCTTAAATAAGGGAGCTGTCAGAGATGCCGTATCAGCTAAAGCTGTACAGCTTGTAGAGAAGCGTGGTGTGATTTGACTCTTTCATAAGAATGGATGAAATAAGTTACTGTAACACCAGGTCAGATGCTCTTAATTTTTAATGCAGTGTTACATTGGGGCAGAGGATGGTACAAATACTGTATTTTCACTGTGCTGCTACTCATCTTATTTCCAGTTTAACTCCTTCAAATTGTCCTATTTTGGATAACAAGGAATTGCATGAAGTGCATCCCTGGTTTGAATTCCTCGTGCAGTGTCGAGGGGTTGCCAGTAACCCACGAGGTAGGAGTCTGGCCTCGCTCAAGGGGTGGTCTGGTGTTTATGCTGCTAGCTGAGTATTTGGCACAGCTGGGCTTAATTCTCTGCTCTGCTGCAGACTTGGTTTTTTGACCATGGCAAATCATTTACATGTGCATCAGTTCCTCATCTCTAAAATGTGGATTATAATTCCTACTTAAACTGTACGTAAAGATTTGGAGGCTATAGGTGTGTCAGAATTTTTTTGTGTATGATCGTCGTTGCCCTCAATTTGATTATATTCCTAACAGGTTGAACAGAAGGAGAATTCATAAGAAAATGCATATACTATTAAAATTAAAGCTTCCTCTAGTTCTTGTGGTGCATTTTGACTTCTCTGCCCCTTGGATTATGTGTTTGCTTTTTTGTTGTTGTTGTTATTGTCATTGAAAATCAGTAGAATTTGTGCCCTTAACTCATTTCACTTTTCTTTTAAATAGTTCATCTTTTGTAGAGTCACATGTTAACAAATGATAAAAATAAGCCCAAGTGAAGCTTTTTCAGAAAGTGTGATCAGTATAGGATAAAGAATTGAACCAATACAATGCTAAACTGTGGGACTCAATCCAAATCAATCTGTGTAGGTAAAACTGTGGTTTGAAATCGGGGAAAGCTTGGTAAAATTTAGAACAGCTTATCTGTATTTATAAGTAAATGGAGAAAAATCATTATTAACAACAAATAGAAAATTCAGCATTTTCCACAGTTAGTCATAGAACAGTTTTAATGCATGATTTAAGGATTTAATATGGTTTTGCATGAAATTAAATCTCACTTGTTTTCTTTTAAGATCCAAAGATGATTTTTCAGGCTAGTCTAGCAAATGCTCAGATCTTGATTCCTAGTAATCAAGCCAGCGTGAGTAGCATGCTACTGGAAGGACGTACACTATTAGCACTTGCAACTACAATGTATGCACCTGGAGGTATTGATCAGGTACTGTGTGCAACAAATTATGATAAAATTTTGGAGATGTTCTCACATGGTGTTGAAAACTCAAAGGAATACATTAATAAAAATAAATATACTAATGCCATCATGTAATTTCGTACCATATAAAAGTCTGTTTTCAGTGTTCCGTGTTTCAGTGTTGGTTGACCAAAGTGAGTAGAGCGGTTCGC